AGACACCATTCGCGCATGTATATAACTATTTTTGATGGACTGTAACGTTATTAGCATTAGTTTGGAAACAGGAAATCAATCTGCCGATATATTCGCCTTACAAAGTCAACTTGTTTCCCTCCAAATTATTGTCAGTTAAGAATCGTTGAACGTCTCATGGCAATTCAACGTACCTGCGATAGTATGTACTGAAGTCCGCTGCCAGCAAATAGACTTGTAGCCTCTTAGTACTTGAGGAAGAATAAAAAAAGGGAAAAATTTACATTTCAACCGCACTGATCCAAGTGTTTTTTCAGGTTGATCTAAAATAAGAAACGCGGTATACCTTTGGAGATCGATAAGGTTGCTTCCTCAGTCCAACGGTTTTAGAACTCAGTAGCCCGACACTGATGAACCCTGATGAATTAAAGAGCATATGCCTGATCACCTCTGTTTTTAACCATTTCAAAATGATTTGCTATGAATGTTAATGCGGGTCTCGGTTGCATCTCTTGTTGACAGCCGGAAAGGAATATCAGACATGAACGTTTACATGTGGGAGTTCTCAAATGGATCTCAAATCCAACATGCCTCATATTAATTTCCAAAGCACATAAACACGGGCTTACGTCTTCCGCTTTAAAGAGCAAAAAAAAACCACTTAGAGCTCCGTCAAGATGTCAAACTTATGAACACCATTTAGAAGCTATTTGTCTTCAAAGTGAGCCATATATGATAGATGTGTGTTGGGTTACATAGAGGCATAGTATTTTTTATGGATGTTACCCATAATTTATTGAATAGGGACAATTATTCATTTACCATCGAATTAGGACATGTCACATGTCATTTACAGTCCGTTCTATGAATAATCCCATTTTTGCTTTAGATCTCCTCGTTGATTTTAATTCAAAAACTTGAATAAAACAAAACAAACAAACAAAAAGGAAACCCTCTTTACGCGCGGAAATTCAAGATTAACTCAAAAAGGAGGTGAGTAATTAGCCAAGTGGTCTCAAGAACAGTGTGACGAACCAAAGAGAAAGTTCCCTTCGGTAGAATGAAGAACTTTTAATGTAGGAAAATGTAGGAAAGTGAAGGAAATCTGGGGAAATTGCGAA